TATATATATGTATATATATATGTGTGTGTGTGTGTGTGTGTGTGTGTGTGTGTGTTTTCAAAATAATAGTTATTTACCTAAAAAGGATTTAAGTAGAGTTTTGTTAACGAGATACATAAACTCGGTGACAAACCCCTTGTCATGTGCAAAATTTTAATGAAGTGCTAATTGTAACTACCTGAGATTGATTCCAATGTGGTAATTAAATTTCTGGTTGGGGCTATCGAAACGTTACAAATAATGCGAGAACATACGTGCTGGTTTCGATTTGCGCCTATGATGAATTCCATGAACGAAATGTCACTTTGGCTAAAACACACTCCGGCAATTCAGCAAAAATAACTTTTATCGATTTTTAAGGGGTAGCAGAGTATGCCGTATCCAGAAGTGTGTTATTAAATCTGATAATAAATCAACTGAAGATATTTTAATTTTGGGAGACTATTATCATGTAGTTTCTGTGGTTTTTAAAAATTGCCTATTTCCTTTACATTTTCTCTCCACTGGAAGTGGATTTTAAAATATTATATAGTTTCAATTTTCGTAATGTCTAGAATTCTGAAAATGGCAAACGTTCAATTTCATTTTTGTATCTGCTATACAGCTCCAATATTAAAATCATAGATTTATTTGATGCAATTTATCCACCAATTTTAGAACATCAAAAGCTGTCACGCACTGTACAAAATTATTAGTAATTGATTAATAACACTAAGAGGAAAAAATTTGCTGTACTTCCCGCATTCTTATTAATTTTTTTTTTACAAATTTTCATCAATTGATGGACGGATTTTGCTACTCTTATTCAATGTCTTGTTAACCTCTGAGAAATAGGTAGATGTCAGAAAGTGTTTAGGGAAAACAAAGATTATTGAAAAATTAGAAACGTATAGATTTGATTTCCTAGGCCTTGGAATCTAATGGGATCGGGATCATTCGGGCAAGAGAATAATAGGGAGAAGAAATTCAAGTGTAAGAGAAATGAAAAATCAATTGAAAACGAAATATTTGTTGATTAAAAAATTAATGGGTAATGGCGATGTATTTTTTTCGTAGGATAAAGTATGCTGATGTCTTTGCTGCTAGGACGCAAAGCTTCGAAATCTCGCACAGAAAGACTACACTAGAAATACACTGATATTATCTGAATAGTGAATAGCTAGTACAGATACGTCCATGCTTGTACTTTATGTTTCTGGGAGATCGTTTGCGTGTCCGTCAGTTGACAATTCAAACCAACAGACGTCTTGCACGGATTAGCATATTTTTGAATGCCAGAATGGCGCCTGAGAGGCAGGCAACCTGCTACACACGTACGTCAAATGGATTGCCTTCCAGACGTTTCTCTCTTCCCGCTAGCAACATCTCCATCAGATCGAACTGTTCCTCATCAGTGACTAATGCTTTCTGTATCGGTCAGATTTTTTTTAATTTCGGGAATTCTAATATTATTGTTCTTGTTATTATTATGATTATGATTTATTTTGCTCGCGAATGGGCCGACTTGAATCACACTTACATGCACCCTGCATTTAACGGTGCTCAGAAACATCTCGATGGCAGGTGCATATAATTTTTTATCAGGACATCAGAATTTAACTGCATTCGATTTTTATCCCTCAGAGTTGTTATCCCTGGGGGTATGGAAGATGACATGATGATGATAGTGAGGACTGAGAGGACGACACATACATACAAACAAATACAACTCTACCCGAAGCGGGACTCGATCCAGCGATCTTTTGGTCCTAGACCTCTACGGCACTTCTGACTAAGGGATATCGGCCATGTGATAGGACATGTTTATTATTATTATTATTATTATTATTATTATTATTATTATTATTATTATTATTATGGGAATTGTGGTGATATTGATTAATGATTTCAGGCATGTCAACTTCTAAGCTCATTAGTTCCGTCAGTGTAGTGCATGTTTTATGGCGGGCAGTGACTATGATATTCCCTTGCTGAATCGCGAGATTCGACGCCAACCTATCTGTCGCCTTTCGAGGTTTCCCCCCAACGAGTTTCCTTCTACCATTTGGTCACCGCTTCAACCGATAGAAACTCCAAACTCCCTACTGGTCTCCCGGAATCTGTGATAGAGTAGTCCATGCAAGTATGTGGTTAAGGGGCGTGGTTAGGACAAGGAAGAGGAAGGAAAGATGGCAGACTGTGGCTCGTTTGTTAGAGTACCTACTGATTCGCCCTTCGCCTAGTGTTTATAGGAGAATATATCGACATTCGCCTATTGTTTATAGGAGACGTATAACTATCGATCAGAGCAGCGGGCGCTAGAAGTTTCCTCCAGATAACGCATGAATTCGACCTAGTTGTATAGTGTCAGAAACCCTGCCACCATTGTCGAGACTCAAGCCTCCCTAGTACCACCCGGTCGGAGGGAATCGACTCTGCACGCACGTTATCGCCAAATCCCCCGGAATCGTTCATCAAATGGAAACGTGTGAATCGCAACGAGCTAGAATCTTTGAAGTCTCAATCTTTGAAGCAAATTGATGCCATGATTTTTGCAATAAAAGCAACACCCTCTGGGAAACAGAGTATTATAGCATTACGTTTGGCGCTGGTTACTGACGGTTACACCAAAGTTACACCGCCACTCGTATGTTTTGACTTAAAAAAAACAAGGTGGCCACACTAGTTCGGCGAGCCTCCACCAAGAGCACTGAAACTATAGAGACAGACACTCTATGTAGTATTTCTAGCTTGTTCGTAAATCGTGTGTAATGGACCACCAGCTCTACTCTCTTCAGGCTCCTGAGGGGACTCTGAAGGCCCATTTACAATGCAAACATAAACATAAGAATAGCGTTAACATGAATGTTATCACTACGTCCATAAGTGGACTCATTCACAATACGTTCGCATAAGCATAACACGTAAGACGTTAACTTAACAGCTTGTCAGCTTCAAGCTTCTGTGCTTATGCTTAAGTTAGACATAAGAAATGGACCAATCACATTACGTTAACTCAAAATCGAGAATCGGAAGGGGAGCGAAGTTGATAGACGAACTAACGCCATATGGGCCATGGACACAGTCGATATCTCGAAATCGATTCTCACATCCAACTAATAGTAAACCAGACTGTCTCACATCGAATACAGACTCTTATTTTGCTTACGCTTATGCTACACATTGTGAATACTTCAGTCTTTCACTTATGTTAATGTTTACGTCCATGCGTTATGCTTATGTTTACGTTTTGCATTGTGAATGGGCTTTTACCGTGCGTGGACAGGAGGAGGGGGTGCCTGATTCGGGCGTGCGCGCGTGATGCAGGTGGCTGGCCAGCACGCAGTTCTCGCCGACGGACGCGCGCCGCGCCTTCCCGTGCTTCGACGAGCCCTCGTTCAAAGCGCGCTTCCAGCTGAGCCTGGCGCGGCCCTCGCACCTCGGCACGCTCTCCAACATGCCGCTCGACGCCACGGAGCCTATGTATGTATGATTGGGTTATATTACGCTACACGTTCAGAATTCTTTCGAATTCGGATCAGCCTTCACACTGCTCGCACATTACGCTACGCGTTCAGAATACTTTCAAATTCGGTCAGCCTTCACACTGCTCGCACATTATGCTACGCGTTCAGAATTCTTTCGAATGCGGTCAGCTTTCACGTTGCTCGCACATTATGCTACGCGTTTAGAATACTTTAAAATTCGGTCAGCCTTCACACTGCTCGCACATTATGCTACACGTTCAGAATTCTTTCGAATGCGGCCAGCCTTCACG